TCAGGAGGTCCGGTGGACCGGCTCTGGCTCCTGCCACCATGAGGGGTGGACAGTCCTCTACTCGGGGCAGCAGACTGCCAAACAACAGGGTGTGGCTCTTCTTCTGAGCAAAAGAATGAAGGGGGCGTGGGAGCGTGGCGGTGAGGTGTGGGAAGCTGTAAGCCCCAGGCTTCTTTGGGCTCGCCTTCCCATCAACCGGAAGCGAGGAGTGGTGGTCGTGGTTACTTATGCCCCCACCGAAGATGAACATCCGTGGAGGGATGCAGGCAAAGCCGATGAGTCAGATGCCTTCTATGACCTCCTGTCACAGGTGCTGGCTAAAGTGGCCCCTCGGGATAGAGTCATCATGTTGGGTGACTTCAATGCCCGAGTTGGTCATGATACTGGCACCTGGTCTGGAGTGATCGGAGGGCATGGGCCAGATCAGCTCAATAACAACGGTAGGAGGCTGCTAGATTTTTGTGCAGCCCATGGGCTTGTCATTACCAACACGCTGTTCCGGCATCGGCGCATCCGCACAACATCATGGATGCATGCCGGGTCCAAGCAAGAACATCTGCTGGCTGAGAATAATGGCACATCCAGAACCCCCATTCAAACCCACAGTGGCCTGGTCTCGGTTAGCTATTCAAAAGTTTGCAAGCGAGCATAAATTAATCATCGCTTGCGGCTGGTGTTGGCATCGTCCCCCACTCCTCCTGATGCCAACGGGAAATGGGCGAGGTTTAGGACTGTGGCTCATGCAGCTGCAATGGCTGCTTTGTGTACACGGTCCACATGCTGCCCAGTGATCACAAATCGCTCTTTAACTCCATCAAAAAAGTAACCTGCAGCGCCCACACACCTATTACCATCATTAGGGGAAAGAGCGGTGATCAAATCTCCGACCCCCAGCAACAGGTTTGCGGATTTTGCTGAGCATTTCTGTGAGGTCCTGGAGGGAGGGGAAATCCCTCAGCCAGGAAAACATCGTGGCACAAAGGTGGGGATGACCCTGCTGAGGCTGCGGTGCCTCAAATATTGGAGGAAGAAGTCACCCCCTGTGAGTGGCAGGCTGACGTGCCATCTGTTGAGGAAGTACTGAAGGCGATCCGGAGTCTGAGACCAGGAAAGGCACCGGGCAGAGATGATCTCCCAAGCGAAATGCTGAGGGGAGGGTGGCGTTTGTCAGTCCGACATGACACCATAACAACAGTCTATGGGTTTCTATGAGTCTCTGGAACTCTGCGGGTCTCTATGGGTCTCTGTGTATCTCTATGGGTCTCTATGAGTCTCTGTGTATCTCTATGGGTCTCTATGAGTCTCTGTGTATCTCTATGGGTCTCTATGAGTCTCTGGAACTCTGCGGGTCTCTATGGGTTTCTGTGTATCTCTATGGGTCTCTATGAGTCTCTGTGTATCTCTATGGGTCTCTATGAGTCTCTGTGTATCTCTATGGGTCTCTATGAGTCTCTGTGTATCTCTATGGGTCTCTATGGGTCTCTGTGTATCTCTATGGGTCTCTATGAGTCTCTGTGTATCTCTATGGGTCTCTATGAGTCTCTGTGTATCTCTGTGGGTCTCTATGAGTCTCTGTGTATCTCTATGGGTCTCTATGAGTCTCTGTGTATCTCTATGGGTCTCTATGGGTCTCTGTGTATCTCTATGGGTCTCTATGGGTCTCTGTGTATCTCTATGGGTCTCTATGAGTCTCTGGATCTCTGCGGGTCTCTATGGGTCTCTATGGGTCTTTGTGGGTCTCTATGGGTCTCTAGATCTCTGTGGGTCTCTATGAGTCTCTGTGTATCTCTATGGGTCTCTATGAGTCTCTGTGTATCTCTATGGGTCTCTATGAGTGTCTGGATCTCTGTGGGTCTCTATGAGTCTCTGGATCTCTGCGGGTCTCTATGAGTCTCTGTGGGTCACTGCGGGTCTCTGTGAGTCTCTGTGTATCTCTATGGGTCTCTATGAGTCTCTGTGTATCTCTGCGGGTCTCTATGGGTCTCTGTGTATCTCTATGGGTCTCTATGGGTCTCTGTGTATCTCTATGGGTCTCTATGAGTCTCTATGGATCTCTGTGGGTCTCTATGGGTCTCTGTGTATCTCTATGGGTCTCTATGAGTCTCTGTGTATCTCTATGGGTCTCTATGAGTCTCTGGATCTCTGCGGGTCTCTATGGGTCTCTGTGTATCTCTATGGGTCTCTATGAGTCTCTGTGTATCTCTATGGGTCTCTATGAGTATCTGTGTATCTCTGTGGGTCTCTATGGGTCTCTGTGTATCTCTATGGGTCTCTATGAGTCTCTGTGTATCTCTATGGGTCTCTATGAGTCTCTGTGTATCTCTGTGGGTCTCTATGGGTCTCTGTGTATCTCTGCGGGTCTCTATGGGTCTCTGTGTATCTCTATGGGTCTCTATGGGTCTCTGTGTATCTCTGTGGGTCTCTATGGGTCTCTGTGTATCTCTGCGGGTCTCTATGGGTCTCTGTGTATCTCTATGGGTCTCTATGAGTCTCTATGGATCTCTATGGGTCTCTATGAGTCTCTGGATCTCTGCGGGTCTCTATGAGTCTCTGTGTATCTCTATGGGTCTCTATGAGTCTCTGTGTATCTCTATGGGTCTCTATGAGTCTCTGTGTATCTCTGTGGGTCTCTATGAGTCTCTGTGTATCTCTATGGGTCTCTATGAGTCTCTGTGTATCTCTATGGGTCTCTATGAGTCTCTGTGTATCTCTATGGGTCTCTATGAGTCTCTGTGTATCTCTGTGGGTCTCTATGAGTCTCTGGATCTCTGCGGGTCTCTATGGGTCTCTGGATCTCTGCGGGTCTCTATGGGTCTCTGTGTATCTCTATGGGTCTCTGTGGGTCTCTATGGGTCTCTATGGGTCTCTATGGGTCTTTGTGGGTCTCTATGAGTCTCTGTGTATCTCTGCGGGTCTCTATGAGTCTCTGTGTATCTCTGTGGGTCTCTATGAGTCTCTGTGTATCTCTATGGGTCTCTATGAGTCTCTGTGTATCTCTATGGGTCTCTATGAGTCTCTGGATCTCTGCGGGTCTCTATGGGTCTCTATGAGTCTCTGGATCTCTGCGGGTCTCTATGAGTCTCTGTGTATCTCTGTGGGTCTCTATGAGTCTCTGTGTATCTCTGCGGGTCTCTATGGGTCTCTGTGTATCTCTATGGGTCTCTATGAGTCTCTGGATCTCTGCGGGTCTCTATGAGTCTCTGGATCTCTGCGGGTCTCTATGGGTCTCTATGAGTCTCTGTGTATCTCTATGGGTCTCTATGAGTCTCTGTGTATCTCTGCGGGTCTCTATGAGTCTCTGGATCTCTGCGGGTCTCTATGAGTCTCTGGATCTCTATGGGTCTCTATGAGTCTCTGTGTATCTCTGTGGGTCTCTATGAGTCTCTGTGTATCTCTGTGGGTCTCTATGAGGCTCTGTGTATCTCTGCGGGTCTCTATGAGTCTCTGTGTATCTCTATGGGTCTCTATGCGTCTCTGTGTATCTCTATGGGTCTCTATGAGTCTCTGTGTATCTCTATGGGTCTCTATGAGTCTCTGTGTATCTCTATGGGTCTCTATGAGTCTCTGTGTATCTCTATGGGTCTCTATGAGTCTCTGTGTATCTCTATGGGTCTCTATGAGTCTCTGGATCTCTGCGGGTCTCTATGAGTCTCTGGAACTCTGCGGGTCTCTATGGGTCTCTGTGTATCTCTATGGGTCTCTATGAGTCTCTGTGTATCTCTATGGGTCTCTATGAGTCTCTGTGTATCTCTGTGAGTCTCTATGAGTCTCTGTGTATCTCTGTGGGTCTCTATGAGTCTCTGGAACTCTATGGGTCTCTATGAGTCTCTGTGTATCTCTGTGGGTCTCTATGAGTCTCTGAGTATCTCTATGGGTCTCTATGAGTCTCTAGATCTCTGTGGGTCTCTATGAGTCTCTGTGTATCTCTATGGGTCTCTATGAGTCTCTGTGTATCTCTATGGGTCTCTATGGGTCTCTGTGTATCTCTGCGGGTCTCTATGAGTCTCTGGATCTCTGCGGGTCTCTATGAGTCTCTGTGTATCTCTGCGGGTCTCTATGAGTCTCTGGATCTCTGCGGGTCTCTATGAGTCTCTGGATCTCTGCGGGTCTCTATGAGTCTCTGTGTATCTCTGCGGGTCTCTATGAGTCTCTGTGTATCTCTGTGTATCTCTGCGGGTCTCTATGAGTCTCTGGATCTCTGCGGGTCTCTATGAGTCTCTGTGTATCTCTGCGGGTCTCTATGAGTCTCTGTGTATCTCTATGGGTCTCTATGAGTCTCTGTGTATCTCTATGGGTCTCTATGAGTCTCTGGATCTCTGCGGGTCTCTATGGGTCTCTGTGTATCTCTATGGGTCTCTATGAGTCTCTGGATCTCTGCGGGTCTCTATGGGTCTCTGTGTATCTCTGTGGGTCTCTATGAGTCTCTATGAGTGTCTGGATCTCTGCGGGTCTCTATGAGTCTCTGGATCTCTGCGGGTCTCTATGAGTCTCTGTGTATCTCTACGGGTCTCTATGAGTCTCTGGATCTCTGCGGGTCTCTATGGGTCTCTGTGTATCTCTATGGGTCTCTATGTGACACCACCACCACTACACACATCACCAGCTCAGTGTGGGGTTCTTTCTTACACCCGGCAACTAAGCGTTCACACAAAATTAAGATGTATATATTATGGTAATGTTATGTTAATGTTACGTTAATGTGATCCTTATGTTAATAACAGGGGGCGCGGCCTGGTTATGCCCAAATATGGTCATTTGCGCAGAGCGATTTTCGCACTTTTTTTTAATCCAACACGGCCACCGTAGCCTCCGCATCGCCTTTAACACGTGCTGAAAAAAATTAAACAAACAATAATAATCTCGTCTAGTATTAATTTCTAAAAAAAGGGTGCATGAATTATGTTAATTGCACGTTATTATGATGATTATGGTAATGAGGAGGGGGGTGGAGCGCGGCGGATGTTTATGCCCAAATATGGTCATTTGCTCGGCGCTATCAATCGCGTTTCGTTAAATCCGCCACGGCCACCGTAGTCCAAGCGTCGCCCTTTAACAAACTTCATTCGAAGCTTTTGTGGCGGGAGGAGTTACTCTTTGGTTAGTTCGGTACAGTAACGTAGAGATAAAATTAATTAAATAATATAGTACGACGTTTCATATTGCTACACAAGCAACCGTCATCAGGTAGAGCTACATTTGAGAGAGAGAGAGAGAACACGGAGACACACGGAGACACACACAGAGAGAGACACACAGAGACACAGAGAGAGGCACAGAGAGACACACAGAGACACACAGAGAGAGACACAGACACACAGAGACACAGAGAGAGAGAGACACACACACAGAGAGACACACAGAGAGACACACAGAGACACAGAGAGAGACAAAACACGGAGATACACAGAGAGAGACACAGAGAGAGAGAGAGACACAGGGAGACACACACAGACACAGAGAGAGAGACACACACACAGACACAGAGAGAGACACACACACAGAGACACAGAGAGAGACAGAGAGAGACACACAGAGAGACACACAGAGAGACACACAGAGAGAGAGACACACAGAGACACACAGAGAGACACAGACACACAGAGAGACAGAGACACAGAGAGACACAGAGAGACACACACAGAGACACAAAGAGAGAGACACACAGAGAGAGACACACAGAGAGAGACACACAGAGAGAGACACACAGAGAGAGACACACAGAGAGAGACACACAGAGAGAGACACACACACAGAGAGACACAGAGAGAGACACACACACACACACACAGAGACGCAGAGAGAGACACACACACAGAGACACACAGAGAGAGACACAGACACACAGAGACACAGAGAGAGACACACAGAGACACACAGAGAGAGACACAGACACACAGACACACAGAGAGAGACACAGAGACACAGAGAGAGACACAGACACACATAGAGAGACAGAGACACACAGAGAGAGACACAGACACACAGAGACACAGAGAGAGACACACAGAGACACACAGAGAGAGACACAGACACACAGAGACACAAAGACACAGAGAGAGACACACACAGAGACACAGAGAGACACACAGAGACACACAGAGAGAGACAAAACACGGAGACACACAGAGAGAGACACACAGAGAGACACACACAGAGAGAGACACACAGAGAGAGACACACAGAAAGACACACAGAGACACAGAGAGACACACAGAGACACAGAGAGACACACAGAGAGAGACACAGGGAGACACACACAGACAGAGAGAGAGACACACACAGACACAGAGAGAGAGACACAGAGAGAGACACAGAGACACACACACAGAGACACAAAGAGAGAGACACAGAGAGACACACAGAGAGAGACAGAGAGAGACACACAGAGAGAGACACACAGAGAGAGACACACAGAGAGAGACACACAGAGAGAGACACACAGAGAGACACACACAGAGAGAGACACAGAGAGAGACACACACACACAGAGACGCAGAGAGAGAGACACAGAGAGACAGAGACACACAGACAGAGAGAGACACGGAGACACACAGACAGACACACACAGAGAGAGAGACAGAGACACACACAGAGACACACACAGAGACACACAGAGACACAGAGACAAAGAGAGACACAGAGAGAGAGACACAGACAGACACATAGAGAGAGAGAGACACACACAGAGACACATGGAGAGAGACACATGGAGAGAGACACAGACAGAGAGACACACAGAGAGACACTCAGAGAGACACAGAGACACAGAGACACACAGAGACACACATAGACACAGAGAGAGACACACAGAGAGACACACACAGAGACAAAGAGAGACACACACAGAGACAAAGAGAGACACACAGAGAGACACACACAGAGAGAGACACAGACAGAGACACACAGACAGACACACACAGAGAGAGACACACAGAGAGACACACAGAGACAGAGAGACACACAGACAGAGACACAGAGACATACAGACAGAGAGACACACAGACAGAGAGACACACAGAGAGACAGACAGAGAGACAGACAGAGAGAGACACACAGAGACACAGAGAGAGAGACACAGAGAGACACAGAGAGACACACACAGAGACACAGAGAGAGACACACAGAGACACAGAGACACACAGACACACAGACACAGAGACACACAGACAGAGAGAGACACAGACAGAGAGAGACACACACAGAGACACACAGTGTGTGCCTGTGTGTCTCTGTGTGTGTCTCTGTGTGTATCTCTCTGTGTGTGTCTCTCTCTGTGTGTGTCTGTCTCTGTATGTGTCTCTGTGTGTGTCTCTGTGTGTGTCTCTCTGTGTGTCTCTCTCTTTGTGTCTCTCTGTGTGTCTCTCTGTGTCTCTCTGTGTGTGTCTCTCTGTGTGTGTCTCTCTGTGTCTCTCTGTGTCTGTGTCTCTCTGTGTGTGTCTATGTGTCTCTCTCTGTGTGTCTTTTTGTGTGTGTCTCTGTGTGTATCTCTCTCTATGTGTCTCTCTCTGTGTGTCTGTCTTTCTGTGTCTATGTGTCTCCGTGTCTCTCTGTGTGTGTCTCTCTGTGTGTGTCTGTCTCTCTGTGTCTATGTGTCTCTGTGTGTGTGTCTCTGTGTGTGTCTCTGTGTCTCTCTGTGTGTCTCTCTGTGTGTCTCTGTGTGTGTCTGTGTCTCTCTACGTGTCTCTGTGTCTCTCTGTGTGTCTGTGTCTCTCTGTGTCTCTGTGTGTGTCTCTGTGTGTCTCTGTGTCTCTCTATGTGTCTCTGTGTGTGTGTCTCTGTGTGTCTCTCTGTGTGTGTCTCTCTGTGTCTCTGTGTCTCTCTGTGTGTCTGTGTCTCTCTGTGTCTCTCTGTGTGTCTGTGTCTCTCTCTCTGTGTCTCTCTGTGTGTCTATGTGTCTGTGTGTCTCTGTGTGTCTCTCTGTGTCTCTCTGTGTGTCTATGTGTCTGTGTGTCTCTGTGTGTGTCTCTCTGTGTCTCTCTGTGTGTCTATGTGTCTGTGTGTCTATGTGTCTCCTGTGTCTCTGTGTGTGTCTCTCTGTGTCTCTCTGTGTGTCTATGTGTCTGTGTGTCTATGCCTCTGTGTGTCTTTCTGTGTGTCTCTGTGTCTCTCTCTGTGTCTCTCTGTCTGCGTTTTGTCTCTCAAATGTAGTTCCTGCTGATGACGGCTGCTTGTGTTGCAATCGAAACGTCGTACTCTATTATTTAACTCATTCAAATCTCGTAAAGTATTATTAAAACTTAGCACGCGCTATATTATGTTAATTACACGTTATTGTTATGATTATGCTAATGAGGTAGAATGGGGGGGCTGAACGGCTATACCCAAATATGGTCATTGTGCGTTTTTTTATTCGCCGCCATAACCACCGCCGCCAACGCGGCCACCGTAGCCAACCACCGTGTAGAGTTAACGTAACGTCGTTTTATAAAAAAATAAACCGAATCGGTAGATATTTTATGTTAATTTTATGTTAACTACATGTACATTTTTATGGGCTTGTCAATGACAGGGGAAACGGGGTCGGCGTGGATGCGCCCAAAATTTGTTTTGAAATGTGAGGCGAGCGAGCGATAACGCGTTTTTTTAATCCTCCAGCATCAGCGGCGGCGGCAGCAGCAGCAGCACGGCCACCGTAGTCCGGAAGTGGCGGCCTCCCCCATCGCTCGCCATGGCCGAGGTAACGGGGGGAGTTGTCGTGAGGCGAACTCATTCACCCTTCATTCACTCTTTCATTCACTCTCTCTCTCATTCACTCTTTCATTCATTCACTCTCTCATTCATTCACTCTCTCATTCACTTTCTCATTCACTCACTCTCTCATTCACTCTCTTATTCATTCACTCTCTCATTCACTCTTTCATTCACTCTCTTATTCACTCTCTTATTCATTCGCTCATTCACCCTTCATTCACTCACTCTCTCATTCACTCTCTTATTCATTCACTCTCTCATTCACTCACTCTCTCATTCACTCTTTCATTTTCTCTCGTTTTCACTCACTCTCTCATTCACTCGCTCACCCTCTCATTCACTCTCTTATTCATTCGCTCTCTCATTCACTCTCTCAATCATTCAATCACTCTTTCATTCACTCTCTCATTCACTCATTCATTCACTCTCTCATTCATTCTCTCAGTCACTCTCTCATTCACTCTCTCATTCACTCACTCACTCTCTCATTCACTCTCGTTCACTCTCTCATTCACTCTCAATCATTCATTCACTCTCTCATTCACTCTCTCATTCACTCTCAATCATTCACTCACTCTCGGTCATTCTCTTATTCATTCTCTTATTCATTCACTCTCTCATTCACTCTCTCATTCACTCACTCTCTCATTCACTCTTTCATTCATTCACTCTCTCATTCATTCACTCTCTCATTCACTCATTCACTCTCTCATTCACTCTTTCATTCACTCTCTCACTCACTCTCTCACTCTCTCATTCACTCTCGTTCACTCTCTCATTCATTCTCTCATTCACTCACTCTCTCATTCACTCACTATTTCATTCACTCTCTCATTCATTCACTCTCTCATTCACTCACTCTCATTCACTCTTTCATTCACTATCTCATTCACTCTCTCATTCACTCTCTCATTCACTCTTTCATTCACTCTTTCATTCACTCTCTCATTCACTCTCTCATTCACTCTCTCATTCACTCACTCTCACATTCACTCTCTCGGTCATTCTCTCATTCATTCTCTTATTCATTCACTCTCATTCACTCTCTTATTCATTCACTCTCTCATTCACTCTCTCATCCACTCACTCTCTCATTCACTCTCTCATTCACTCACTCAGTCACTCATTCATTCTCTCAGTCACTCTCTCATTCACTCATTCACTCTCTCATTCACTCTCTTATTCGTTCACTCTCTCATTCCCTTTTTCATTCACTCTCTCATTCATTCACTCTGTCACTCTCATTCACTCATTCATTCACTCATTCACTCTCTCATTCACTCTTTCATTCTATCTCATTCACTCTTTCATTCTATCTCATTCACTCTCTCAGTCACTCTCTCATTCACTCATTCACTCTCTCATTCACTCACTCATTCACTAATTCACTCTCTCATTCACTCTCTCATTCACTCATTCATTCACTCATTCCCTCTTTCATTCACTCTCTCATTCACTCTCTCAGTCACTCTCTCATTCACTCATTCACTCTCTCATTCACTCTCATTTCCTCTTTCATTCACTCTCTTATTCATTCACTCACTCTCTCGTTCGCTCATTCACTCTCTCATTCCCTCTTTCATTCACTCTCTCATTCACTCTCTCATTCACTCTTTCATTCACTCTCATTTACTCTCTCGCTCACTCATTCACTCTCTCTCTCTGTCTCTCCCTGTCTCCCTGTGTCTCTCTCTGTCTCCCTGTTTCTCTCTCTGTCTCTCCCTGTCTCCCTGTTTCTCTCTCTGTCTCTCCCTGTCTCCCTGTGTCTCCCTGTGTCCCCCTGTGTCTCCCTGTGTCTCCCTGTGTCTCCCTGTGTCTCTCTGTATCTCTCCCTGTCTCCCTGTGTCTCTCTGTCTCCCTGTGTCTCTCTGTGGCTCTGTCTCCCTGTGTCTCTCTGTATCTCTCCCTGTGTCTCCCTGTGTCTCTCTCTATCTCTCCCTGTCTCCCTGTGTCTCTCTGTCCGCCTGTCCCCCTGTGTCTCTGTCTCCCTGTCTCCCTCTGTCTCTCTGTCCCCCTGTCCCCCTGTCTCCCTGTGTCTCCCTGTGTCTCCCTGTGTCTCTCTGTATCTCCCCCTGTCCCCCCGTGTCTCTGTCTCAGGTGGACAGTCTGACTCGTGCCGTTCCGCCGGGACGCCTCGTGGCCAAAGCCTTCGTCCACCGTGACTACAGCCTGGGCACAGCCTGCCGCTACCACGTTCACTTCCCCAGTGAGCTCACCGGTAAGGTGAGTACACTCACCACCACCACTCACCACCACCACCACCACTCACTCACCACTCACCACCACCATCACCACTCACCACCACCACCACTCACCACCACTCACCACTCACCACCACCACTCACCACCACTCACCACCACCACCACTCACCACCACTCACCACTCACCACCACTCACCACCACTCACCACCACCACTCACCACTACCACCACCACTCACTACAGCCTGGGCACAGCCTGCCGCTACCACGTTCACTTCCCCAGTGAGCTCACCGGTAAGGTGAGTACACTCACCACCACTCACCACTCACCACCACCATCACCACCACTCACCACCACCATCACCACTCACTCACCACCATCACCACCACTCACTCACCACTCACTCACCAGTCACCACCACTCACCACCACCACCACTCACCACCACTCACCACTCACCACCACTCACCACCACTCACCACCACCACTCACCACTACCACCACCACTCACTACAGCCTGGGCACAGCCTGCCGCTACCACGTTCACTTCCCCAGTGAGCTCACCGGTAAGGTGAGTACACTCACCACCACTCACCACTCACCACCACCATCACCACCACTCACCACCACCATCACCACTCACTCACCACCATCACCACCACTCACTCACCACTCACTCACCACTCACCACCACTCACCACCACCACCACTCACCACCACTCACCACTCACCACCACTCACCACCACTCACCACCACCACTCACCACTACCACCACCACTCACTACAGCCTGGGCACAGCCTGCCGCTACCACGTTCACTTCCCCAGTGAGCTCACCGGTAAGGTGAGTACACTCACCACCACTCACCACTCACCACCACCATCACCACCACTCACCACCACCATCACCACTCACTCACCACCATCACCACCACTCACTCACCACTCACTCACCACTCACCACCACTCACCACCACCACCACTCACCACCACTCACCACTCACCACCACTCACCACCACTCACCACCACCACTCACCACTACCACCACCACTCACTACAGCCTGGGCACAGCCTGCCGCTACCACGTTCACTTCCCCAGTGAGTTCACCGGTAAGGTGAGTACACTCACCACCACTCACCACCACTCACCACCACCACTCTCCACCACTCACCACTCTCCACCACTACAATCACCACTAACCACCACCACTCACCACCACTCACTACAGCCTGGGCACAGCCTGCCGCTACCACGTTCACTTCCCCAGTGAGCTCACCGGTAAGGTGAGTACACTCACCACTCACCACCACTCACCACCACCATCACCACCACTCTCCACCACTCACCACTCTCCACCACTACCACCACTACTCACCACCACCACTCACCACCACCACTCACCACCACGACTCACCACCACTCACCACCACTCACCACTCGCCACCACCACTCACCACTCATCACCACGACTCACCACCACCACTCATCCACTCACCACCACCATCACCACGACTCACCACCACTCACCACCACTCTCCACCATCACCACCACTCACTCACCACTCACCACCACTCACCACCACCACCACCACTCACCACCACTCACCACCACTCACCACCACTCACCATCCACCACTCACCACCACTCACCACCACTCTCCACCATCACCACCACTCACTCACCACTCACCACCACTCACCACCACCACCACTCACCACCACCACTCACCACTACCACCACCACTCACTACAGCCTGGGCACAGCCTGCCGCTACCACGTTCACTTCCCCAGTGAGCTCACCGGTAAGGTGAGTACACTCACCACTCACCACCACTCACCACTCACCACCATCCACCATCCACCACCACCACCACTCACTCACTCACCACCACTCACCACCACCACTCACCACCACCACCCACCACCACCACGACTCACCACCACCACGATTCACCACCACCACCACTCACCACCACTCACCACCACTCACCACCACCACCACTCACCACCACCATCCACCACTCACCACCACTCACTACAGCCTGGGCACAGCCTGCCGCTACCACGTTCACTTCCCCAGTGAGCTCACCGGTAAGGTGAGTACACTCCTCACCACTCACCACTCACCACCACCATCACCACCATCACCACCATCACCACCACTCACCACCACGACTCACGACCACGACTCACCACCACCACGACTCACCACCACTCACCACCACTCACCACCATCCACCACTCACCACCACCACTCACCACCACTCACCACCACTCACCACTCACCACCACTCACCACCATCCACCACTCACCACTCACCACCACTCACCACCACCACTCACCACCACCACTCACCACCACTCACCACCACTCACCACCAGCACCACTCACCACCACCATCCACCACTCACCACTCACCACCACCACTCACCACCACTCACCACCACCACTCACCACCACTCACCACCACCACTCACCACCACCCACCACCACTCACCACTCACCACCACCACCACTCACCACCACCACTCACCACTCACCACCACTCACCACCACTCACCATCACCACCATCCACCACTCATCACCACCACTCCTCACCACTCACCACAACTCACCACCACTCACCACCACTCACCATCACCACGACTCACCACCACTCACCACCACTCTCCACCATCACCACCACTCACTCACCACTCACCACCACTCACCACCACCACCACCACTCACCACCACTCACCACCACTCACCACCACTCACCATCCACCACTCACCACCACTCACCACCACTCTCCACCATCACCACCACTCACTCACCACTCACCACCACTCACCACCACCACCACCACTCACCACCACCACTCACCACTACCACCACCACTCACTACAGCCTGGGCACAGCCTGCCGCTACCACGTTCACTTCCCCAGTGAGCTCACCGGTAAGGTGAGTACACTCACCACTCACCACCACTCACCACTCACCACCATCCACCATCCACCACCACCACCACTCACTCACTCACCACCACTCACCACCACCACTCACCACCACCACCCACCACCACCACGACTCACCACCACCACGATTCACCACCACCACCACTCACCACCACTCACCACCACTCACCACCACCACCACTCACCACCACCATCCACCACTCACCACCACTCACTACAGCCTGGGCACAGCCTGCCGCTACCACGTTCACTTCCCCAGTGAGCTCACCGGTAAGGTGAGTACACTCCTCACCACTCACCACTCACCACCACCATCACCACCATCACCACCATCACCACCACTCACCACCACGACTCACGACCACGACTCACCACCACCACGACTCACCACCACTCACCACCACTCACCACCATCCACCACTCACCACCACCACTCACCACCACTCACCACTCACCACCACTCACCACCATCCACCACTCACCACTCACCACCACTCACCACCACCACTCACCACCACCACTCACCACCACTCACCACCACTCACCACCAGCACCACTCACCACCACCATCCACCACTCACCACTCACCACCGCCACTCACCACCACCACTCACCACCACTCACCACCACCACTCACCACCACTCACCACCACCACTCACCACCACCCACCACCACTCACCACTCACCACCACCACCACTCACCACCACCACTCACCACTCACCACCACTCACCACCACTCACCATCACCACCATCCACCACTCATCACCACCACTCCTCACCACTCACCACAACTCACCACCACTCACCACCACTCACCACCACCACCACTCACCACCACCACTCACCACCACCACCACTCACCATCCACCACTCACCACCACCACCACTCACCACCACTCACCACCACCGCCATCCACTCACCACCACTCACCACCACCACCATCCACTCACCACCACTCACCACCACCATCCACCACTCACCACCTCTCACCACCACCACTCACCACCACCACTCACCATCCACCACTCACCACCACTCACCACCATCCACCACCACCATCCACCACTCACCACCACTCACCACCACCACTCACCACCACTCACCACCACCACTCACCACCACCACTCACCATCCACCACTCACCACCACTCACCACCATCCACCACCACCATCCACCACTCACCACCACTCACCACCACCACTCACCACCACTCACCACCACCACTCACCACCACTCACCACCACTCACCACCACCACCATCCACCACTCACCACCATCCACCAAGACCATTCACTACCACTACCGCTACTACCACTACAGCTACTACTACTGCTGCTACTACTACTACTACAGCTACTAAGGCTACTACTGCTACAGCTACTACTACTTCTACAGCTACTACTACTACAGCTACTACTACTACAGCTACTACTACTACTACAGCTACTACTACAGCTACTACTACTACAGCTACTACTACTACAGCTGCTGCTACTACTGCTACTACTACAGCTACTACTACAGCTACTACTACTACAGCTACTACTACTACTACAGCTACTACTACTACTACAGCTACTACTACTACAGCTACTACTACAGCTGCTACTACTACTACAGCTACTACTACTACTACAGCCACTACTACTACACATACTACTACTATAGCTACTACTACTACAGCTACTACTACTACAGCTACTACTACTGCTACTACTACTACTAATGCTGCTGCTACAGCTACTACTACAGCTACTACTACTACAGCTACTACTACTACAGCTACTACTACAGCAGCTAATACTACTACAGCTACTACTACTAATGCTACTACTACTACAGCTACTACTACTAATGCTACTACAACTACAGCTACTACTACTACAGCTACTACTACAGCTACTACTACAGCTACTACTACTACTAGACCTACTACTACAGCTACTACTACAGCTACTACTACTAATGCTTCTGCTACAGCTACTACTACTACTACACCTACTACTACAGCTACTACTACTACTACAGCTGCTACTACTACAGCTACTACTACAGCTACTGCTACTACTACTACAACTGCTACTACTACAGCTACTACTACAGCTACTAATGCTACTACTACAGCTACTACTACTACAGCTACTACTACTACAGCTACTACTACTACAGCTACTACTACTACAGCTACTACTACTACTACAGCTACTACTACTACTACAGCTACTACTACAGCTACTAATGCTTCTGCTGCTACTGCTGCTACTACTACTACAGCTACTACTACAGCTACTACTACTACAGCTACTACTACAGCTACTACTACTGCTGCTACTACTGCTGCTGCTACTACAGTTACTACTACAGCTACTAATGCTACTGCTACTACTGCTACTACTACTGCTGCTACTACTACTGCTGCTACTACTACTGCTGCTACAACTGCTGCTACTACTACTAATGCTACTGCTGCTACTGCTGCTGCTAATGCTACTACTACTACAGCTACTACTACTACTACTAATGCTGCTGCTACTGCTACTACTACTGCTACTACTGCTGCTACAACTACTGCTACTACTACTATTAATGCTACTACTACTACACCTACTACTACTAATGCTGCTGCTACTACTGCTACTACTACACCTACTACTACTAATGCTGCTGCTACTGCTGCTGCTACTGCTGCAGGTGGAGGCGCAGCAGTTTGAGGAAACGCTCCGGGGGCTGAACGCCCTCTTTGAGGAGGCTGAGCGGCTGGACAGCCACACGTACTTGGAGAGTTGTCTGGCGTGTCTCACAGCCTACCTCGTGTACACCTGTGTGGAGACGCACTACCAGAAGGTGGGTGGGTGGGTGGGGGGGTGGGTGGGTGGGTGGGTGAGTGGGGGGGTGGGTGGGTGAGTGGGGGGGTGGGTGGGTGAGTGGGGGGGTGGGTGGGTGAGTGGGTGAGTGAGTGGGTGAGTGGGTGGGTGAGTGAGTGAGTGAGTGGGTGAGTGAGTGAGTGGGTGGGTGGGTGAGTGAGTGGGTGAGTGAGTGACTAGGTGAGTGAGTGACTAGGTGAGTAACTGGGTGAGTGAGTGGGTAAGTGAGTGAGTGGGTGAGTGTGTGACTAGGTGAGTGACTAGGTGAGTGGGTGAGTGGGTGACTAGGTGAGTGAGTGGGTGAATGACTAGGTGAGTGACTAGGTGAGTGACTAGTTGAGTGACTAGGTGAGTGACTGAGTGAGTGAGTGACTAAGTGAGTGAGTGACTAAGTGAGTGACTAAGTGAGTGACTAGGTGAGTGAGTGAGTGACTAGGTGAGTGACTAGTTGAGTGACTAGGTGAGTGACTGAGTGAGTGAGTGACAAGGTGAGTGAGTGACTAGGTGAGTGAGTGACTAGGTGAGTGAGTGACTAGGTGAGTGAGTGACTAGGTGAGTGACTAGGTGAGTGAGTGAGTGACTAAGGGAGTGACTAGGTGAGTGACTAAGTGAGTGACTAAGTGAGTGACTAGGTGAGTGACTAAGTGAGTGACTAGGTGAGTGACTAGGTGAGTGAGTGACTAGGTGAGTGACTAGGTGGGTGGGTGAGTGTGTGAGTGTGTGAGTGGGTGAGTGGGTGAGTGAGTGACTAGGTGAGTGAGTGGGTGAGTGAGTGACTAGGTGAGTGACTAGGTGGGTGGGTGAGTGTGTGAGTGAGTGAGTGGGTGAGTGAGTGACTAGGTGAGTGAGTGGGTGAGTGAGTGACTAGGTGAGTGACTAAGTGAGTGACTAGGTGAGTGGCTAAGTGAGTGACTAGGTGAGTGATTAGGTGGGTGGGTGAGTGTGTGAGTGACTAGGTGAGTGAAAAGGTGAGTGAGTGACTAGGTGAGTGAGTGACTAGGTGACTGAGTGAGTAACTAGGTGAGTGACTAGGTGAGTGAAAAGGTGAGTGAGTGAGTGACTAGGTGAGTGACTAGGTGAGTGAGTGACTAGGTGCGTGACTAGGTGAGTGAGTGAGTGACTAGGTGAGTGACTAGTTGAGTGACTAGGTGAGTGACTAAGTGAGTGAGTGACTAAGTGAGTGACTAAGTGAGTGACTAGGTGAGTGAGTGAGTGACTAGGTGAGTGAGTGAGTGACTAGGTGAGTGAGTGAGTGACAAGGTGAGTGAGTGACTAGGTGAGTGAGTGACTAGGTGAGTGAGTGACGAGGTGAGTGACTAGGTGAGTGAGTGAGTGACTAGGTGATTGACTAGGTGAGTGACTAAGGGAGTGACTAGGTGAGTGACTAAGTGAGTGAGTGAGTGACTAGGTGAGTGACTAGGTGAGTTACTAAGTGAGTGACTAGGTGAGTGACTAGGTGAGTGACTAGGTGGGTGGGTGAGTGTGTGAGTGAGTGAGTGAGTGGGTGAGTGGGTGAATGAGTGACTAGGTGAGTGAGTGGGTGAGTGAGTGACTAGGTGAGTGACTAGGTGAGTGACTAGGTGAGTGACTAAGTGAGTGACTAGGTGAGTGGATAAGTGTAGTGACTAGGTGAGTGACTAGGTGGGTGGGTGAGTGTGTGAGTGGGTGAGTGGGTGAGTGAGTGACTAGGTGAGTGAGTGACTAGGTGAGTGAGTGACTAGGTGAGTGAGTGAGTGACTAGGTGAGTGTGTGACTAGGTGAGTGAGTGAGTGACTAGGTGAGTGACTAGGTGAGTGACTAAGTGAGTGAGTGACTAGGTGAGTGACTAGGTGAGTGACTAGGTGAGTGAAAAGGTGAGTGATTGACTTGGTGAGTGACTAGGTGAGTGAGTGACTAGGTGAGTGACTAGGTGAGTGAAAAGGTGAGTGAGTGAGTGACTAGGTGAGTGACTAGGTGAGTGAGTGACTAGGTGAGTGAGTGAGTGACTAGGTGAGTGACTAGATGAGTGACTAGGTGAGTGACTAGGTGAGTGAGTGACTAGGTGAGTGACTAGGTGAGTGACTAGGTGAGTGAGTGACTAGGTGAGTGAGTGACTAGGTGAGTGAGTGACTAGGTGAGTGACTAGGTGAGTGACTAGGTGAATGAGTGACTAGGTGAGTGACTAGGTGAGTGAGTGAGTGACTAGGTGAGTGACTAGGTGAGTGACTAGGTGAGTGACTAGGTGAGTGAGTGAGTGAGTGAGTGGCTGAGTGAGTGACTAGGTGAGTGACTAGGTGAGTGACTAGGTGAGTGAGTGACTAGGTGAGTGACTAGGTGAGTGACTAGGTGACTGAGTGAGTGACTGAGTGAGTGACTAGGTGAGTGACTAAGTGAGTGACTAGGTGAGTGAGTGAGTAACTAGGTGACTGAGTGAGTGAGTGACTAGGTGAGTGACTAAGTGAGTGACTAGGTGAGTGAGTGAGTGACTAGGTGAGTGAGTGACTAGGTGAGTGACTAGGTGAGTGACTAGGTGAGTGAGTGACTAGGTGAGTGACTAGGTGAGTGACTAGGTGAGTGAGTGACTAGGTGAGTGACTAGGTGAGTGACTAGGTGAGTGAGTGACTAGGTGAGTGAGTGACTAGGTGAGTGACTAGGTGAGTGACTAGGTGAGTGAGTGACTAGGTGAGTGACTAGGTGAGTGAGTGACTAGGTGAGTGACTAGGTGAGTGACTAGGTGAGTGACTAGGTGAGTGAGTGACTAGGTGAGTGAGTGACTAGGTGAGTGAGTGACTAGGTGAGTGACTAGGTGAGTGAGTGACTAGGTTAGTGACTAGGTGAGTGACTAGGTGAGTGAGTGAGTGAGTGACTAGGTGATTGACTAGGTGAGTGACTAGGTGAGTGACTAAGGGAGTGACTAGGTGAGTGACTAAGTGAGTGAGTGAGTGACTAGGTGAGTGACTAGGTGAGTTACTAAGTGAGTGACTAGGTGAGTGACTAGGTGAGTGACTAGGTGGGTGGGTGAGTGTGTGAGTGGGTGAGTGGGTGAATGAGTGACTAGGTGAGTGAGTGGGTGAGTGAGTGACTAGGTGAGTGACTAGGTGAGTGACTAGGTGAGTGACTAAGTGAGTGACTAGGTGAGTGGCTAAGTGAGTGACTAGGTGAGTGACTAGGTGAGTGACTAGGTGGGTGGGTGAGTGTGTGAGTGAGTGAGTGGGTGAGTGAGTGACTAGGTGAGTGAGTGACTAGGTGAGTGAGTGGGTGAGTGAGTGACTAGGTGAGTGAGTGACTAGGTGAGTGAGTGAGTGACTAGGTGAGTGTGTGACTAGGTGAGTGAGTGAGTGACTAGGTGAGTGACTAGGTGAGTGACTAAGTGAGTGAGTGACTAGGTGAGTGACTAGGTGAGTGACTAGGTGAGTGAAAAGGTGAGTGATTGACTTGGTGAGTGACTAGGTGAGTGAGTGACTAGGGGACTGAGTGAGTAACTAGGTGAGTGACTAGGTGAGTGAAAAGGTGAGTGAGTGAGTGACTAGGTGAGTGACTAGGTGAGTGAGTGACTAGGTGAGTGAGTGAGTGACTAGGTGAGTGACTAGATGAGTGACTAGGTGAGTGACTAGGTGAGTGAGTGACTAGGTGAGTGACTAGGTGAGTGACTAGGTGAGTGAGTGACTAGGTGAGTGAGTGACTAGGTGAGTGAGTGACTGAGTGAGTGACTAGGTGAGTGACTAGGTGAGTGACTAGGTGAGTGACTAGGTGAGTGACTAGGTGAGTGAGTGACTAGGTGAGTGAGTGACTAGGTGAGTGACTAGGTGAGTGACTAGGTGACTGAGTGAGTGACTAGGTGAGTGACTAGGTGAGTGACTAGGTGAGTGAGTGACTAGGTGAGTGACTAGGTGAGTGACTAGGTGACTGAGTGAGTGACTGAGTGTTTGACTAGGTGAGTGACTAAGTGAGTGACTAGGTGAGTGAGTGAGTAACTAGGTGACTGAGTGAGTGAGTGACTAGGTGAGTGACTAAGTGAGTGACTAGGTGAGTGAGTGACTAGGTGAGTGAGTGACTAGGTGAGTGACTAGGTGAGTGACTAGCTGAGTTAGTGACTAGGTGAGTGACTAGGTGAGTGACTAGGTGAGTGAGTGACTAGGTGAGTGACTAGATGAGTGACTAGGTGAGTGACTAGGTGAGTGACTAGGTGAGTGAGTGACTAGGTGAGTGAGTGACTAGGTGAGTGACTAGGTGAGTGACTAGGTGAGTGAGTGACTAGGTGAGTGACTAGGTGAGTGACTAGGTGAGTGACTAGGTGAGTGAAAAGGTGAGTGAGTGAGTGAGTGACTAGGTGAGTGACTAGGTAAGTGACTAGGTGAGTGAGTGAGTGACTAGGTGAGTGACTAGGTGAGTGACTGACTAGGTGAGTGAGTGACTAGGTGAGTGACTGACTGCATCCCCATACACCGCCCTCCCTCCCCCCGCAGGTGCTGAAGCGAGTTAGTCGCTTTGTTTGTGAGCAGAATGAGGCGGTGTACGTGCCTCGTGGACTCCACATCACGGACCCCATGGAGAGAGGCCTCAGAGTGGTATCCTGACTCACCTAGTCACTCACCTACTCACTCACCTAGTCACTCACCTAGTCACCGACTAGCGGTGTATGTGCCTCGTGGACTCCACATCACGGACCCCATGGAGAGAGGCCTCAGAGTTGTATCCTGACTCACCTAGTCACTCAGCTAGTCACTCACCTAGTCACTCACTCACCTAGTCACTCACCTAGTCACTCACCTAGTCACTCACCTAGTCACTGACTAGCGGTGTATGTGCCTCGTGGACTCCACATCACGGACCCCATGGAGAGAGGCCTCAGAGTTGTATCCTGACTCACCTAGTCACTCAGCTAGTCACTCACCTAGTCACTCACTCACCTAGTCACTCACCTAGTCACTCACCTAGTCACTCACCTAGTCACTCACCTAGTCACTGACTAGCGGTGTATGTGCCTCGTGGACTCCACATCACGGACCCCATGGAGAGAGGCCTCAGAGTGGTATCCTGACTCACCTAGTCACTCACCTAGTCACTCACCTAGTCACTCACCTAGTCACTCACTCACTCACCTAGTCACTCACCTAGTCACTCACTCACCTAGTCACTCACCTAGTCACTGACTAGCGGTGTATGTGCCTCGTGGACTCCACATCACGGACCCCATGGAGAGAGGCCTCAGAGTGGTATCCTGACTCACCTAGCCACTCAGCTAGTCACTCACCTAGTCACTCACCTAGTCACTCACCTAGTCACTCACTCACCTAGTCACTGACTAGCGGTGTACGTGCCTCGTGGACTCCACATCACGGACCCCATGGAGAGAGGCCTCAGAGTTGTATCCTGACTCACCTAGTCACTCAGCTAGTCACTCACCTAGTCACTCACTCAGCTAGTCACTCACCTAGTCACTCACCTAGTCACTCACCTAGTCACTGACTAGCGGTGTACGTGCCTCGTGGACTCCACATCACGGACCCCATGGAGAGAGGCCTCAGAGTGGTATCCTGACTCACCTAGTCACTCACCTAGTCACTCAGCTAGTCACTCACTCACTCACCTAGTCACTCACCTAGTCACTCACCTAGTCACTCACCTAGTCACTCACCTAGTCACTGACTAGCGGTGTATGTGCCTCGTGGACTCCACATCACGGACCCCATGGAGAGAGGCCTCAGAGTGGTATCCTGACTCACCTAGTCACTCACCTAGTCACTCAGCTAGTCACTCACTCACTCACCTAGTCACTCACCTAGTCACTCACCTAGTCACTCACCTAGTCACTCACCTAGTCACTCACTCACGTAGTCACTCACCTAGTCACTCACCTAGTCACTCACTCACCTAGTCACTCACCTAGTCACTCACCTAGTCACTCACCTAGTCACTCACCTAGTCACTCACCTAGTCACTGACTAGCGGTGTATGTGCCTCGTGGACTCCACATCACGGACCCCATGGAGAGAGGCCTAAGAGTTGTATCCTGACTCACCTAGTCACTCACCTAGTCACTCACCTAGTCACTCACTCACCTAGTCACTCACCTAGTCACTCACCTAGTCACTCACCTAGTCACTCACCTAGTCACTCACCTAGTCACTGACTAGCGGTGTATGTGCCTCGTGGACTCCACATCACGGACCCCATGGAGAGAGGCCTAAGAGTTGTATCCTGACTCACCTAGTCACTCACCTAGTCACTCACCTAGTCACTCACCTAGTCACTCACCTAGTCACTCACCTAGTCACTCACCTAGTCACTCACTCACGTAGTCACTCACTCACGTAGTCACTCACCTAGTCACTCACCTAGTCACTCACTCACCTAGTCACTCACCTAGTCACTCACCTAGTCACTCACCTAGTCACTGACTAGCGGTGTATGTGCCTCGTGGACTCCACATCACGGACCCCATGGAGAGAGGCCTCAGAGTTGTATCCTGACTCACCTAGTCACTCACCTAGTCACTCAACTAGTCACTCACCTAGTCACTCACTCACCTAGTCACTCACTCACTCACCTAGTCACTCACCTAGTCACTCACCTAGTCACTCACCTAGTCACTCACTCACCTAGTCACTCACCTAGTCACTCATCTAGTCACTCACCTAGTCACTCACTCACCTAGTCACTCACCTAGTCACTCAGCTAGTCACTCACCTAGTCACTCACCTAGTCACTCACCTAGTCACTCACCTAGTCACTCACTCACCTAGTCACTCACCTAGTCACTCACCTAGTCACTCACTCACCTAGTCACTCACCTAGTCACTCACCTAGTCACTCACTCACCTAGTCACTCACCTAGTCACTCATATAGTCACTCATCTAGTCACTCACCTATTCACTCACTCACCTAGTCACTCACCTAGTCACTCACTCAGCTAGTCACTCACTCAGCTAGTCACTCACCTAGTCACTCACCTAGTCACTCACTCTCCTAGTCACTCACTCACCTAGTCACTCACCTAGTCACTCACCTAGTCACTCACCTAGTCACTCACTCACCTAGTCACTCACTCACCTAGTCACTCACTCACCTAGTCACTCACCTAGTCACTCACCCAGTCACTCAGCTAGTCACTCACCTAGTCACTCACTCACCTAGTCACTCACTCACCTAGTCACTCACCTAGTCACTCACCTAGTCACTCACCTAGTCACTCACCTAGTCATTCACTCACCTAGTCACTCACCTAGTCACTCACCTAGTCACTCAGCTAGTCACTCACCTAGTCACTCACTCACCTAGTCACTCACCTAGTGACTCACCTAGTCACTCACCTAGTCACTCACCTAGTCACTCACCTAGTCACTCACCTAGTCACTCACCTAGTCACTCGGCTAGTCACTGAGCTAGTCACTCACCTAGTCACTCACCTAGTCACTCACCTAGTCACTCACCTAGTCACTCACTCACCTAGTCACTCACCTAGTCACTCACCTAGTCACTCAACTAGTCACTCACCTAGTCACTCACCTAGTCACTCACCTAGTCACTCAGCTAGTCACTCACCTATTCATTCACCTAGTCACTCACCTAGTCACTCACCTAGTCACGCAGCTAGTCACTCAGCTAGTCACTCACTCACCTAGTCACTCACCTAGTCACTCACTCACCTAGTCACTCACCTAGTCACTCAGGTAGTCACTCACCTAGTCACTCACCTAGTCACTCACCTAGTCACTCAGCTAGTCATTCACCTAGTCACTCACCTAGTCACCCACTCACCCACTCAACTAGTCACTCACCTAGTCACTCAGGTAGTCACTCACCTAGTCACTCAGGTAGTCACTCACCTAGTCACTCACTCACCTAGTCACTCAGCTAGTCACTCACCTAGTCACTCACTCACCTAGTCACTCAGCTAGTCACTCACTCACCTAGTCACTCACCTAGTCACTCACTCACCTAGTCACTCACCTAGTCACTCACCTAGTCACTCACCTAGTCACTCACCTAGTCACTCACCTAGTCACTCAGCTAGTCACTCAGCTAGTCACTCACCTAGTCACTCACCTAGTCACTCAGGTAGTCACTCACCTAGTCACTCAGGTAGTCACTCACCTAGTCACTCACCTAGTCACTCAGGTAGTCACTCACTCACTCACCTAGTCACTCACCTAGTCACTCACCTAGTCACTCAGGTAGTCACTCACCTAGTCACTCAGGTAGTCACTCACCTAGTCACTCACTCACCTAGTCACTCAGCTAGTCACTCACTCACCTAGTCACTCACCTAGTCACTCACCTAGTCACTCACCTAGTCACTGACTAGCGGTGTATGTGCCTCGTGGACTCCACATCACGGACCCCATGGAGAGAGGCCTCAGAGTTGTATCCTGACTCACCTAGTCACTCACCTAGTCACTCAACTAGTCACTCACCTAGTCACTCACTCACCTAGTCACTCACTCACTCACCTAGTCACTCACCTAGTCACTCACCTAGTCACTCACCTAGTCACTCACTCACCTAGTCACTCACCTAGTCACTCATCTAGTCACTCACCTAGTCACTCACTCACCTAGTCACTCACCTAGTCACTCAGCTAGTCACTCACCTAGTCACTCACCTAGTCACTCACCTAGTCACTCACCTAGTCACTCACTCACCTAGTCACTCACCTAGTCACTCACCTAGTCACTCACTCACCTAGTCACTCACCTAGTCACTCACCTAGTCACTCACTCACCTAGTCACTCACCTAGTCACTCATATAGTCACTCATCTAGTCACTCACCTATTCACTCACTCACCTAGTCACTCACCTAGTCACTCACTCAGCTAGTCACTCACTCAGCTAGTCACTCACCTAGTCACTCACCTAGTCACTCACTCACCTAGTCACTCACTCACCTAGTCACTCACCTAGTCACTCACCTAGTCACTCACTCACCTAGTCACTCACTCACCTAGTCACTCACTCACCTAGTCACTCACTCACCTAGTCACTCACTCACGTAGTCACTCACTCACCTAGTCACTCACTCACCTAGTCACTCACCTAGTCACTCACCCAGTCACTCAGCTAGTCACTCACCTAGTTACTCACTCACCTAGTCACTCACTCACCTAGTCACTCACCTAGTCACTCACCTAGTCACTCACCTAGTCACTCACCTAGTCATTCACTCACCTAGTCACTCACCTAGTCACTCACCTAGTCACTCAGCTAGTCACTCACCTAGTCACTCACTCACCTAGTCACTCACCTAGTGACTCACCTAGTCACTCACCTAGTCACTCACCTAGTCACTCACCTAGTCACTCACCTAGTCACTCACCTAGTCACTCGGCTAGTCACTGAGCTAGTCACTCACCTAGTCACTCACCTAGTCACTCACCTAGTCACTCACTCACCTAGTCACTCACCTAGTCACTCACCTAGTCACTCAACTAGTCACTCACCTAGTCACTCACCTAGTCACTCACCTAGTCACTCAGCTAGTCACTCACCTATTCATTCACCTAGTCACTCACCTAGTCACTCACCTAGTCACGCAGCTAGTCACTCAGCTAGTCACCCACTCACCTAGTCACTCACCTAGTCACTCACTCACCTAGTCACTCACCTAGTCACTCAGGTAGTCACTCACCTAGTCACTCACCTAGTCACTCACCTAGTCACTCAGCTAGTCACTCACCTAGTCACTCACCTAGTCACCCACTCACCCACTCAACTAGTCACTCACCTAGTCACTCAGGTAGTCACTCACCTAGTCACTCAGGTAGTCACTCACCTAGTCACTCACTCACCTAGTCACTCAGCTAGTCACTCACCTAGTCACCCACTCACCCACTCAACTAGTCACTCACCTAGTCACTCAGGTAGTCACTCACCTAGTCACTCAGGTAGTCACTCACCTAGTCACTCACTCACCTAGTCACTCACCTAGTCACTCACCTAGTCACTCACCTAGTCACTCACCTAGTCACTCAGCTAGTCACTCACCTAGTCACTCACCTAGTCACTCAGGTAGTCACTCACCTAGTCACTCAGGTAGTCACTCACCTAGTCACTCACCTAGTCACTCAGGTAGTCACTCACTCACTCACCTAGTCACTCACCTAGTCACTCACCTAGTCACTCAGGTAGTCACTCACCTAGTCACTCAGGTAGTCACTCACCTAGTCACTCACTCACCTAGTCACTCAGCTAGTCACTCACTCACCTAGTCACTCACCTAGTCACTCACCTAGTCACTCACCTAGTCACTCACCTAGTCACTCACTCACCTAGTCACTCACTCACCTAGTCACTCACCTAGTCACTCACCTAGTCACTCAGCTAGTCACTCACCTAGTCACTCACCTAGTCACTCACTCACTCACCTAGTCACTCACCTAGTCACTCACCTAGTCACTCACCTAGTCACTCACCTAGTCACTCACTCAGTCACTCACCTAGTCACTCACTCACCTAGTCACTCACCTAGTCACTCACTCACCTAGTCACTCACCTAGTCACTCACCTAGTCACTCAGCTAGTCACTCACCTAGTCACTCACCTAGTCACTCACCTAGTCACTCAGCTAGTCACTCAGCTAGTCACTCACTCACCTAGTCACTCACTGACTCACCTAGTCACTCAGCTAGTCACTCACCTAGTCACTCACCTAGTCACTCACCTAGTCACTCACCTCGTCACTCACCTAGTCACTCACCTAGTCACTCACCTAGTCACTGACTCACCTAGTCACCTAGTTACTCACCTAGTAACACACCTAGTCACTCACCTAGTCACTCACTCACCTAGTCACTCACCTAGTCACTCACCTAGTCACTGACTCACCTAGTCACTCACCTAGTTACTCACCTAGTCACTCACCAAGTCGCTCACCTAGTCACTCACTCACCTAGTCACTCACCTAGTCACTCACCTAGTCACTCACTCACTGACTCACCTAGTCACTCACTCACCTAGTCACTCACTCACCTAGTCACTCACCTAGTCACTCACCTAGTCACTGACTAGCGGTGTATGTCCCTCGTGGACTCCACATCACGGACCCCATGGAAAAAGGCCTCAGAGTTGTATCCTGACTCACCTAGTCACTCACCTAGTCACTCACCTAGTCACTCACCTAGTCACTCACCTAGTCACTCACCTAGTCACTCACCTAGTCACTCACTCACCTTGTCACTCACCTAGTCACTCACTCACCTAGTCACTCACCTAGTCACTCACCTAGTCACTCACTCACTCACCTAGTCACTCACCTAGTCACTCACTCAGTCACTCACCTAGTCACTCACTCACCTAGTCACTCACCTAGTCACTCACTCACCTAGTCACTCACCTAGTCACTCACCTAGTCACTCAGCAAGTCACTCAGCTAGTCACTCACTCACCTAGTCACTCACCTAGTCACTCACCTAGTCACCTAGTCACTCACCTAGTCACTCACCTAGTCACTCACCTAGTCACTCAGCTAGTCACTCAGCTAGTCACTCACTCACCTAGTCACTCACTGACTCACCTAGTCACTCACCTAGTCACTCACCTAGTCACTCACTCACCTAGTCACTCACTCACCTAGTCACTCACCTAGTCACTCACCTAGTCACTCACCTAGTCACTGACTCACCTAGTCACTCACCTAGTTACTCACCTAGTCACTCACCTAGTCACTCACTCACCTAGTCACTCACTCACCTAGTCACTCACCTAGTCACTCACCTAGTCACTCACCTAGTCACTGACTCACCTAGTCACTCACCTAGTTACTCACCTAGTCACTCACCTAGTCACTCACCTAGTCACTCACTCACCTAGTCACTCACCTAGTCACTCACCTAGTCACTGACTCACCTAGTCACTCACTCACCTAGTCACTCACCTAGTCACTCACCTAGTTACTCACCTAGTCACTCACCTAGTCACTCACTCACCTAGTCACTCACCCAGTCACTCACCCAGTCACTCACCTAGTCACTCACCTAGTCACTCACTCATTGACTCACCTAGTCACTCACTCACCTAGTCACTCACCTAGTCACTCACCTAGTCACTCACTCACTGACTCACCTAGTCACTCACTCACCTAGTCACTCACTCACCTAGTCACTCACCTAGTCACTCACCTAGTCACTCACTCACCTAGTCACTCACCTAGTCACTCACCTAGTCACTCACTCACCTAGTCACTCACCTAGTCACTCACTCACCTACCACTCATTCACTCACTCACCCACCCACTCACTCACTCACCAGGTGAGTGAGTAGTTGTCTTCGCTCCTTGACCATGTGCCCTGCAGGTGGAGGTGAGCGTCTACGAAGACCACTGAGTCAACTGGGGCGACGCTCACCACTCCTCACCACTCCTCACCACTCACTCACTCACTCGCCCACCCACTCACTCGCCCACCCACCCACTCACTCGCCCACTCACTCACCTACCCACTCACCCACTCACTCACTCACCCACCCACTCACTCACCCACTCACCCACCCACTCACTCACCCACCCACTCAGCCACCCACTCAGCCACTCACTCACTTGCCCACCCACTCACCCACCCACTCACTCACCCACTCACTCACCCACTCACCCACCCACTCACCCACCCACTCATTCACCCACCCACTCACCCACCCACGAACTCACTCACCCACTCACTCAGCAACTCACCCACTCACCCACTCACCCACCCACTCACTCACCCACTCACCCACCCAGCCACTCACCCACTCACCCACCCACCCACTCACTCACCCACTCACTCACACACCCACTCACCCACCCACTCATCCACTCACTCACACAGTCACACACACACTAACACACGCCTGTATACACACACAGTAACCCACACATACACACACATTAAGACACTAACAACAACAACCGCCATTCGCCACTAAGTGGCGGTGACGTCACCACGACGCTTGTGCCAGGCTATGTGCACCCTGAGGCCACGTGAAGTGTCGAACGCCCGCTGGCAGGAGGTCACGGGGCAGACCCAGGTGCCACGGGTCGACTGACTGAGATGACTGGCTGATGCACCACCTGTGCCCCCTACTGTGCCAACCTGCTGTGCTTTAGCCACCCGGCGCTCCGCTCGTTGTTCTGAGCGCCGCTCCTCCGCCCTCCGTTGTTGTTGGAGGGCGACTGCCTCCAACTGCCCAGTAGCATCCTTCACGAGCCTCCTCCACTGAGGCCGATCTTGACACCGCTGATACCAGTCATCGGCAAGTCCACTCAGCTCCACGTCCTCCTGTACCACATCACTCCATCTCTTCTCTAGCCCGTGCCGCGCCCGCTTAGCCCCCTCAATCCGGCCGAACAAAAGCTGTTTCGGCATGCGGTGGCTGTGCTTGCGGGCTACATGACCCAGTCATCGCAGCCTTCCCCGCCGGAGGAGCTCACCGATGGGACCTTGCCCAGATCTTTCACGGATTTGTGAGCTCCTCACACAATCCAGTCTGGTTAAACCCAGGATGGATCGTAGGCAGGCCAGCCTAAATGTTTCTAACCGGCGAAGATGTTCCATTAGGGGGGTCCACGTTTCACAAGCGTAGAGAAGGGAGGGAATTACCGTGGCCAAGAAGACCTGAAGCTTAGTGCGGAGCGAAAGACCAGGTAGCTTCCACACAGCGTTACGCAACCGATGAAAAGATATTGCCGCTCGACTGATTCAGAGTGAGACCTCTGCTGTTAAACTGGAGCCAGTTATAAGCACACTGACCAGGTATGGGAAACTCTCCACTCTCTCCACAACTGCCCCATCACCGATTGGGAGTTGTGGGGATGTAGTGTCCGATGGTACAAAATACCCCGGCAGGTGCTTAGTTTTGGTGGGGCTGATGGTAAGGCCCCACCTCTTAGTGGCACGCTCCAGTCTCAGCAGCAGCATCTCCAACTCCTCCTCTGAATGAACAGCTATTACCAAATCATCAGCATACATAACGTGGTTGAGCAATAGGGAGCCATCCCTTGACCGCACCCGGGCATCGATCAGCCTCCCATTATATCTGTACAATATGGAGATTCCCCCGGTACAGCTATTGAAGGCTTCACGAACTACGTGGTCAAAATAGATGTTAAATAATCTGGGAGCCAGAGGACATCCCTGTCGCACCCCAAGGTGTACAGGGAATGGCTCTGACTCCCTGCCACGTAGTTTTACCCGGGCCCGCTCACCATCATGAAGGTCCTTAATGATCGTGAGCAGAGGGTCAGGTACTCCAAAAGCACGAAGAACAACCCAGAGCCCAGGCCTACTGATGGTATCATAGGCCTTGACCAGGTCAATAAAGCAGAGATGTAGGTCTTTTTGGAATTCCCTACACCTCTGCTGTAGCAGACGGACAGAAAACATGGCATCTGTGCAGGACAGCCCTTTCCTGAAACCGCTTTGGGGCTCCGCAAGCCTCTCCTCAGCGTGCCTGGCAAGGCGATGCTGAATAATCCTTGCCAGGACCTTTCCCGGCACACTGAGGAGTGAGATGCCCCTGTAGTTGTTACAGTCTGTGCGGTCCCCCTTCTTAAAAAGGGGGACCACCAGGGCATCCTTCCAATCCTGCGGAACCCGTCCAGTGGTCCAGACCGTTATGATGTCATATAGGGCAGTCTGTGCACAAACGCCGTTCTCAGCATTTCGCTTGAGATCATCTCTGCCCGCTGCCTTTCCTGGTCTCAGACTCCGGATTGCCTTCAATACTTCTTCAATAGATGGCACCTCAGCCAGCCACTCACAGGGGGGTGACTTCTTCCAATATTTGAGGCACCGCAGCCTCAGCAGGGTCATCCTCACTTTGTGCCACGATGTTTTCCTGGCTGAGGGATTTTCCCTCCCCCAGGACCTCACAGAAATGCTCAGCAAATCTGCAAACCTGTTCCTGGGGGTCGGAGATTGGATCACCGTTTTTTCCCCTAATGATGGTAATAGGTGTGGTGCTGCAGGTTACTTTTTTGATGGAGTTAAATAGAGATTTGTGATCACGGGCCACTGAGGCAGACTCCCATCTCCTCAGCAACCCGCGACCACCACCCATCAACCTCTGAGCGAAGGCTGCGGTTAGCCTCCTCATTCTCTGACGTGGGATTCTGTAGCCGATGACAGTGGGCCTGTCGCTTTTTCTCAACCATCCTGAACACCTCCTCTGTCATCCAGGGTGTCTGGGGAGGTCTGGACCACGTACCCAAAGCAGCCATTGCAGCTGCATGAGTCACAGTCCTAACCCTCGCCCATTTACCCTCGACATCAGGAGGAGTCGGGGACGATGCCAATCCCAGCCGCAAGCGATGATGAAATTCTCGCTTACAACTTTCATCAGATAACTGAGACCAGGCCACTTTAGGTTGGAATGGGGTCCTGGGTGCACACCTACCACCGGAGTGGAAGAATGGCAGGCGCATCTTACAGATGACTAGTCGATGGTCAGAGGGCAGATCAGCTCCACGGTAGGTCCTGGTGTCAAGGACATGGGCTCGCATCCACTGGTCCGTCACTAGTCCAGCAGATGTTCTTGCTTGGACCCGGCATGCAACCATTATGTGTGGATGTGCCGATGCCGGAACAGCGTGTTGGTAATTACAAGCCCATGGGCTGCACAAAAATCTAGCAGCCTCCTACCGTTGTTATTGAGCTGATCTGGCCCATGCCCTCCAATCACTCCAGACCAGGTGCCAGTATCATGACCAACTCGGGCATTTAAGTCACCCAACATGATGACTATCCCGAGGGGCCACTTTAGCCAGCACCTGTGACAGGAGGTCATAGAAGGCATCTGACTCATCGGCTTTGCCTGCATCCCTCCACGAATGTTCATCTTCGGTGGGGGCATAAGTAACCACGACCACCATTCCTCGCCTCCGGTTGATGGGAAGGCGAGCCTAAAGTAGCCTGGGGCTTACAGCTTCCCACACCTCACCGCCACGCTCCCACGCCCCCTTAATTCTTTTGTTCAAAAGAAGAGCCACACCCTGTTGTTTGGCAGTCTGCTGCCCCGAGTAGAGGACTGTCCACCCCTCATGGTGGCAGGAGCCAGAGCCGGTCCACCGAACCTCCTGAATGCCACATAGATCCAGGCGGTACCAGTCCAGCTCCCGACAGAGGAGTGGCAGCCTCTCCTCCGCTGTGAGCGTTCGAACATTCCACGTGGCCACCCGTAGTGGCTTTTCGTTGTTTCTAGAGGAGCCCCGAGGGTAGAGATTCAATCTCCTGGCTCCGCCAACAGGGGTTTGGCCAGGAGACGTCATAGACGTCTGGCCCCCCGGGGCCTCCGGCACAAGCTCATTAGTTACATATTTCAGTTTAACTCGTGGTTTAGTGGTAATTAATTGAAGGTGGAGGGGTTACCAGCCCCTCGCACCCGTCCAGAGCCCCCGTTTAGCCCCTGTGGTGGACAATCAAAATTGGACCTCCCCCCACAGCACTGTCCACGACAGAGTTGCCCGTCCGGCACCGCGAGGAGGTAGGGGGTTGTTTTGCCGGACTAACACACACACACTAACACACACTAACACACACATGTAAACACACACTAAGACACACACTAACACACACTAAGACACACACTAAGACACACACATGTACACACACACACATGTACACACGCACTAAGACACATGTACACACATACTAAGACACACACACTAAGACACATGTACACACACATGTACACACACACACTAAGACACACACATGTACACACACACTAAGACACACACATGTACACACACTAAGACACACACATGTACACACACACACATGTACACACACACATGTACACACACACATGTACACACACTAAGACACACACATGTACACACACACTAAGACACACACACTAAGACACACATGTACACACACTAAGACACACGTACACACACACATGTACACACACACTAAGACACACACATGTACACACACACTAAGACACACATGTACACACACTAAGACACACACATGTACACACACACTAAGACACACATGTACACACACACTAAGACACACACACTAAGACACACATGTACACACACTAAGACACACACATGTACACACACACATGTACACACACACATGTACACACACACACATGTACACACACTTACACACACACTAAGACACACACATGTACACACACACTAAGACACACACACTAAGACACACACACTAAGACACACACACTAAGACACACACACATGTACACACGCACTAAGACACACCGGTCTGGAGAACCCAGCTGTGGTATCGACATCTCTCTGTGTCTCTCTGTGTGTGTGTGTCTATGTGTGTGTGTGTCTATGTGTGTGTGTCTGTGTGTCTCTCTGTGTGTGTGTCTGTGTGTGTGTGTGTCTCTGTGTGTGTGTGTCTCTGTGTGTCTCTATGTGTGTGTCTCTCTGTGTGTGAGTGTCTCTCTCTGTGTGTGAGTCTCTCTCTCTCTGTGTCTCTGTGTGTGTCTCT